ATTGATAGTTGCTTATTAAAAATTTTTAGTTTTTAAAAAAATTATCACCGCCATTACTTTCGCCGGAGACTGTAATAGTTACATTTTATTAATTTCAACAACTCCACTTTGGCTAGTGGCTTGAAAACCGACCCTAGTACAATTAATTCATCCAACAACTGTTTTGAAGATCCTGGAATTGTTGTTATTATTGATTTTCTCAACATCATCACTGTTATTTTACTGGGTTATGCCATTTACTCAATATTTCATCATGACTATACATGGGGTGGTAATTATTTTGCCAAAAAACGTAATACGTAATAGTAATTACAAAATTAATGTTAATCACGGGTGACGAAATCAATTACGAATGACGAAATTAAATGACACCTATTATTTATCTCGTTATACTAGTATAATGAACTTTTTTTTAGAATTATAGAATTTATTTTGTTATAACGACATGTCAGTATAATGCAGTATAATGGAAAAATCTGAAAAAACATAAGAAAATAAAACTTACTCCGGGATCAAGATTGACCGGTATCATGGAAAATTCTGATAACACTACTGTATAATGCTGGTCAATTTTGACCCGGCGTAAGTTTTAGATTTCCTGATAAAACATGAATGAAATAAAAAAATAATAAAAATAAAATTGCAAAATCACATGATAATGATTCTCATATGACTTCTATATGAACTCCCGTTATAATGACATTCTCGTCATACTGACATTTTTTTGCTTGTACGGAGAGTGTTTTTATAACGGGAGTGGCTTGTATTATGATATTTCCGATAATTAATTCGTTGTTATTCGTAATTAGTTTCGTCGCCCGTAATTAATTTCGTCGGCCGTAATACGGTAATTGATTTCGTAATTGCGTTTTTTAAAAGAGGAAAATGGTAATTAATTACGATGATTGCGTATTACGTACTTATAGTAATTAGGCAATTACCATCCCACATGATAATGATTCTCATATGACTTCTATATGAACTCCCGTTATAATGACATTCTCGTCATACTGACATTTTTTTGCTTGTACGGAGAGTGTTTTTATAACGGGAGTGGCTTGTATTATGATATTTCCGATAATTAATTCGTTGTTATTCGTAATTAGTTTCGTCGCCCGTAATTAATTTCGTCGGCCGTAATACGGTAATTGATTTCGTAATTGCGTTTTTTAAAAGAGGAAAATGGTAATTAATTACGATGATTGCGTATTACGTACTTATAGTAATTAGGCAATTACCATCCCATGTATATTCTCAATCAATAATTTATTATTCAAGTAATGGATCAAACAATATAGATCAAATATTATTACCAGCACTTAAAAATTTGAAGACTTTAAAATTAAGATTTAAATCTGCTCATCTTTATTATGGTGACAGAGTAAAATGGTTGAAAAGTATTTCACAGCCAAATATTGAATCTGTGTAGTTATGCATTCGTAGCTAACCATTTCTATCAGACTTTTCTCTAGCAATTATAGTAGTAACATAGATTATAAATATAATTATTGTTTATATTATCTTGTTAAAGAAATAAGACCTATATTTTATAAATGAATAAACTAGCAATTTGAATAAAACGGATAAAGTGAATAAAACAAATAAAATGAATAAATTTTTTAATTCGAATTAAAGATTGGCCGCATTACGAATAATTCGAATAAGAATTTGTATTACGAATGAAACCCTAAATTGGGGTAAGTTATAAGACAAATTTATTAGTATCAATGGAAAAACTCTTAAATATCTGAATGTTTATGGTACTCAAAATGATATTGAATTTTTAGGAAAGCTATTTCAATCAATTGCACAATAAAAATCTAGTAGACTTATCAATATTTCATAATGATGAAGTAAACCAGGAGTTAACAAAAATATTCAATAACTGTATTAAATTAGAAAGTATTACATGGGTTAAAGACTAGTGCCGTAAATTATGATGATGGTAGTAATTGTATTTACGGCATATAAAAAGTGGTTGCAATTACCTTTGCGACCACTTTTGCAACCATCCTTTTTCCTTTTTTGGATTATGGCACTAGTCTTTAATTGTGGTTAGCCCTGCTGTTATCAAAATAGTTGGAATAAATCAAAGAGAGGATGTTTACTTTGCTTAATTTCTGCTAATTCTTTTTCTAGTTCAGCTTTTGGTTTGATGTTTCATTTTTTGTAATAAGTTTCTGATCTCTTAATTTTTTGGCTATTCCTTTCATTTTCAAAAGTACCAATCATTTGTCCATTCTCCATCTCTTCCTCTTCATGCTTATCTTACACATCTAGGGGAAATGATTATTGTGAATTCAGATTCATGATATTTAGCAGCTCAATTTTGATCAACTTGTTTTTCTTCTCTCCATATTCTTTGACCTCTCTCTCATACTTCACTTATGATATTAAAATCATGAACATTTAACTTGTTTCAAGTTCACCTATTACTTCCTGAAATAACTCTCCTACTTGATCTCAAGTTTCAGAATCCATAGCTTTAATATCATTAGCTAAGTGTTTTTTAGTGGATAATACTATACATCCAGGATGAAGTTCATTATGTAACCTAGTAATTACTTCACCTTTTTCACCAATAACATTATCTTGATTAGGGTGTAAAGCTTCCTGTACTGCTTTAGTTTGTTCAGGAGTAGCTGGTATGAAAACATGTGGTGTTTCTACTAAGGATGTTAGCCGAAATGGATTTTGAAAAAAACAATTTTGGCATATAGATGCTGGTTGCAATTCTTGGTGATGGTTGCAACCATATTTGCAACATATAAAAATGGTTTGCAACACCTGGTTGCAACCACCTTTGCGACCAATTTGGTTTCCTTTTTTGGATTGCAACATGGAACACTATTTTGACAAGCAATATTGGATTAACAATATTCTTTATATCTATAGGCATAAAATACTACCCAGAATTTCGGCTACTTATTTAAAGTGTTCAAATAATTTCAGATATAATTTTGGCAACTAATAAGATTAATTTCAGCATCTATGAAAAACTATTTTGGCATTTCAGATTAGGTGACAATCATTCATTAAGAGAGCCAATTTCAGCTAACATGCTTAGTTTCTACTATATTTATTACCTATATATCACAACCTGCATAGGGCTAACCCTTGTATAAGGTTAAATCTTAATCCCTCCCTATATTCACAGGGATGGATGGATGCAGGTGTAACCCTTTAGAAATCATCCACATTAGGTGACAGTGCTGTTACCACTGCAATATTCTTGAAGATCTGCAAATAATTCTGGTAAATAGTAAATTAAAAGAAAGGAAGTTCTTTATAGTCATATTTAGATGTTGTTTGTCAAACTAGATGTAAACTTATTATCTCAACTGTTACTTAAAATAAATAGAATTTGTTGACCAACCAAGACAATTTATCAATTCTAAAAATCATAGGAATCTATGATTTATTGGTTATAATTAAATCAATTTGATAAAAATCAAGATTTTTCACCTGCGGATTTCAAAGGAATGAAATATGAGAGATTGTTGATATATTTTATTGAAATCATACTTTAATACACTAAGAAAAGATTCATAGGCTAGCTAATCTTGTGAAATATTAGTTGATATCTTTTAAAAGCAAGTATTTGGGGCATACTGCAACAAAACCAGACAAAGTGAACATTGGTATTACCAAAGATTTCAGGGATCAAAATTTAGTCATTATCATCACATTTATAATGTGATTGCAGTTTTATAATTTTAGTATGAATGTAAGGGGTGTAATTATAAAATCATAAAAAAAGGACTTTATTGAAGTTAAATAGCCATTATAATTTTTAGATTCAGTATCCAATATATTTTCAACAAAAGGTTCAACTGACTCATTATTTTCTGTTATCAAATAAATAAACAACTTTTATAGTCACATGTAAAATATTATATGATACAAATTAATGGGGGAAGGAAATTCGCCTGGGTAAGAAATAAATGTTCCCTTATATATTACACATGTAAAATTATAACTGTAATTATTTGGCCATTGTGCACAAAACATTAAATATAAAAGATATTTAGTACAAAGATTTTTTTTTATGATAATGATAATGGTAAATTCTGCAAAGGTAAATATTATAAAATCAAGTATTTTGTTATTAAACAATTTTACTTATCATTGATTCCAATGACAATAAGATTTGATTTGTTTAAATATTAAGATATCAATATTTTTATCTGAGAACTTTTTGATTTCCATAGAGTATACTGTTGAAATCTAGTTCATCTTGTTTTGTAACATATAATTATATTTTTCTTTTAAGGATTAATAGTTTGTCTATTAAGTTTTTTAAAGAAGTTTTGGATAAATCCCATTTGTTGAATAGACATAATTTTGAAATTTTGCTGGATAATGGTTTACTAGAATTTGAAAAAGTTCTTCAGAGTCAATCTTCCTTTCATAACTATCCAAATATAGTCCCTCAAGTTGTTCACAAATTATTTGGCCATTGTGCACAAAACATTAAATATAAAAGATATTTAGTACAAAGATTTTTTTTTATGATAATGATAATGGTAAATTCTGCAAAGGTAAATATTATAAAATCAAGTATTTTGTTATTAAACAATTTTACTTATCATTGATTCCAATGACAATAAGATTTGATTTGTTTAAATATTAAGATATCAATATTTTTATCTGAGAACTTTTTGATTTCCATAGAGTATACTGTTGAAATCTAGTTCATCTTGTTTTGTAACATATAATTATATTTTTCTTTTAAGGATTAATAGTTTGTCTATTAAGTTTTTTAAAGAAGTTTTGGATAAATCCCATTTGTTGAATAGACATAATTTTGAAATTTTGCTGGATAATGGTTTACTAGAATTTGAAAAAGTTCTTCAGAGTCAATCTTCCTTTCATAACTATCCAAATATAGTCCCTCAAGTTGTTCACATGATACCAAAATTTGCCTTACATCTTTGACATCAGAAATTGAAGTAGCTAGGTAATGCAAACTTTGATAACAGTATTGAGCTATTGTTTCATTATGTTGTGATAATTTTTTCTTGCCATTTGGCCAGAACCCATATAAATCAAGAACTTTGATTTGTGAACAAAATTTTGTTAAAATTTACTAAGAACATTCAAAGATGGCAATTTACTTCCAATCCTAAGTATTTCCAGTCCTTTAAAAGTGGCTGACATACACATATCTCGGAAAAGGTCTTCTATATTATCATTCACCAAAATCTCCAATACTACCAGGTTTGAAAAATGACCAATTGTTTCTGGTGGCAAACATAACAATCCTCCAGTAAGAGTAAAATATTTTATAGAACTTGAAACTTTAATTAATGCTTTACTGATTTCTTTGTGTAGTTCTAAATTAACAATATTATAAACAGAACCATATACCACACATTCTAAATATTTTTGTAAAGAAATCAAATATGCCAATCCCCAATTATCACTTTTTAAATCTTTAATTACCAATTTCCTAATAATAAGACTACCATGATCATTTTCATTAATGAAAAGTTCATTAGAGCACATTGATGCTAAATGATAATATAAATGTGATAATGCTATGTTATCACAATGTAACTCATAAATTTGTGAAAAACATTCCCTAGTTCCTGATAAATATAGATGGACAAACTTTCATTAACATTTGATAAAAGTTATATTTAATGATATGGAAGAGAATCTATGTCATCATCATCATTTTTCTTTAGTCTCAAACCACAATCAAATACCCAATCCAGATGAAAAGCTGAAAGCACTCGAATAAAACTTGGATAATTAAAATTGGTAATGGTAGATGATAAATATCTTCTAAAATAATTGTGCCATCATTTGGTAAAAATTCTTTCCCTGCATGAGCTATCGATGATCTCAATAGTGCTAAGAAAAGTTTAGCACCACACGTTGAATTAGTCAGTGGATCAAGATATCTTTCAGTGTCTCTCCATAAGATCTTCTAAATATTTGAATATATATTTAATGCAGCTGTCTGGTAGTGAAATACAAGTTGTTCTTGGTGAAGAGCATGTTGTTCTTGGTGAAGAGCATGTTGTTCTTTCACGTCACTTGTTGTTTTAACATATAGATAAAATTGTTAGTGAGAACTTTAAATTTTTAAACTATATAATATTTACAACTTTAATTTATTAATTTATTTATAAATAATTAGTTGCAGTAACCACTCCTTTCCATGTCATTGACATACCTGGATTCAGTTACTTTCTTGGTATTCCTTGTAAAGAATGGGATTCTTACATGTATTATGAAGCATGGAAAAATGCTGGACTTTCTATGAATAAAATACATTAATGCAGGCATTTAATAGACAAGTTGAGTTGATAAAGTACATGGCTCAGGAATAGAGAGAGATAATGCTATATATGTTTGCTGAAATGATCATGGCATTAATTACACTACAGAGAAGTATATCACAATTCTAGCAGCTGCCCATGGGACTACGTCTCCATTACAGCCAGTTTGTGACTTGCTAATCTTCAGTTTTGGGATATGCTCATTTTACCTTGATTGAATATGTATATCTATTTTTACAAGGGGAAAATGGGACTCATTGACAGCTTTTGATTGAAGCATTCATCTGACAACCAACATATTTATTCATATCTTTAACAAGATCAATGCCACTTTGAAAGCTTGCTTGACAGTAAATTACAGACCATCTATGCCACTTTTAGCTAGCATATATGATGAATCACCAGCTTTTATTGGAGGTTACATTTTTATCCTTTAAGTTTTATAATGAATTTGTCCTTATTTTTTGATTTCATTATCTATGATCATGCATTTGATATTTCCAGAAATTTATATATACACAGTGAGTCTCGATTTAACAGATATTTTTTTCCAGAAAATTTATCCGTTAAATCGAGAGATCCGCTAAATCGAAACTTATGATCAAATCATGTGATA